TTCTTTCTTTCTGTTTTTCTTTTTTTTTTTGGTAGAATGCATTCCCCGTTTGTCCAGCATCTCTCTGTTTGTTGGTGAATTAAGTACATCCGTCTTTTGAGTTCTTCCATATTAATTTTTGTTTTTTAGTTCCAACTATTTCTGACAGCCGTCACATTCACCAGTGGTTGTATGTTTTCTGATTACACCGCTTAGTTGTCTCTCCTGTGGAAAACGGCTTCTCTCTCTCTGCAACAATCAGTCGGTGCTTTTTTTTTGTTCTCTCTTTAGTTTAAAAAGCTGTTCAAGCACTTGATAATGCATGCTGAAGAACCGCTAAATTTGCTTTATATCAAACACATTTTGGAGATTTCTTCCCTTTTATATCTTTTTGTGACCTGCTTATTAGCAGAGTGCATTAAGAGTTGAAGCTCCTAAAGCCGCTTTGTGAATCTCTGATCTAGGTTTTATTTTTGATGACTGCTTTAGATAAGAGACACTGTTTAAAGGATGATGTCAGCATCAATATATTGTTTTATCTTGACATGAACAAACCCTTTGAAAAGACCAAAGCTTATGTGTGTGTGTGTGTGTTAATGGGTCTCTATGGTGCTTTTATGCATTCAGCTTTTAAATGAGCTTCAGATTTGTTTGTTTTTATTTGGTTTTGGAAGATTAGACCCAAAAAGCAGAAAAAAAAATTAAGATTTTATCTTGGCATGTGGGTATTTTTAGCTGAAATTAAATTTGGTTTCCAGTGGAATAATTCTAACCTGGTTATGAAGTAAATATTTCACCTCTACGTTACTTGGATGCAGAGGTGTCAAAAGTATTATTGTTCATCACTCAAGTAAAAATATAAATCCTACTGTTTAAAAACTCCCTCGTAGAGGTTAGACTACCAACTTAAGCTTTTTATTCAAGTAAAAGTGCAAAAGTACCTTTTTAAAACTACTTGAAGTATAGAAATAAAAGTAATGCAGGAAAAAATTATTAGGACAGATACTTTACAGCACTACCCTTTTAAAGGAACATTTTTTCTACAATCCCGGATGATAAATTCCTTATACTTAATTTTCTTACTTTTAAAACTAATGGTAACAGTGTCAAATTTACCTTTGCATCACCTTAAAAAGTTAGTTTGGTTTGTGCAGCACCGATTCCAACCCCCAAATAAATTAATTGTCTTAATGAAACTAATTATAACAAAAATTAGCTTAAATAAAACAAAATTAACAACTCTGTTTTTAAAATGGAAGGAGTAGAAAGTAGAGCTAATTTAAAAAGAATTTAAGGTGTAAATTGTCTAAAAAATAATTACTCCATTAAAGTATAGATAGCAAACATTTCTACTTAAGTAAGGTAAAGTATTAGTACTTTGTTACTTGACACCTCAGCTTGGACGGCAGCAGGAATATAAACTGGACTGAAATGCAGGATGTCGCCATCATCATCTACCAAACCAGGCTACACATCCTGTCTGCTACTAGGAAAGGATCAATTCAATTCAGTTTATTCATATAGCTCCAATTCACAACATGTCATCTCAAGGCACTTTACAGTTCACATACAGTCAAACTGATTTAAAGTTTTCTATCTAAGGAAAACCAGTTGATTGCATCGACTCATTGACTCGAATGCAATCTCTCACACTAAGCATGCTTGTAGCGACAGTGAAGAGGAAAAACTCCCTTTTAACAGGAGGAAACCTCCAGCAGAACCAGGCTCAGAGTGGTCAACTAGAGGATTAACTCAGCTGGTTATTTAAACCAGAACATTTTCCTCCTTTTATTTCTCTCTTTAGTTTGAAATCTAGCAAGCAAACACAATTTTCTGAATTTGTGTTTAATCTTTGTTATATGCCGAGTTTAAACATAATTTACACCAAATGTTGCCATATTTTAGGGTCCTTAATTAGAAAATCAGTAACAGCCTTAACACCAGTAATGGTGGATAGCTGTAATTTATGCTAAATGCTTTACAACCACCAGAAAAACCATAGAGACGCTACTGGGGACAGCTTTTTAATTAAAGCTGCCATCGTTCATTATGTAAAGACTTTCTAGTCAAGATGTTTATGAGGACTTTCTTATGACATTGAAATATGAGCAGAAAGTCTCTGGTGGTTTAGTCTAAACAATTATCTTAGATTGCTGTAAAATGATAGATTTATTCTTGGTTTCGGTCTTTTCTGTGGATTTGTTCACTTTATTAAACAAGCAACTCCATGTTTTGTCACATTGTAGCCACAAACTTTAATCAAGTGTTAAGATTTTATATCAAAGTTTGAGATATTTTATTTATTAAAAAAGTAAAATTGTGAAGTAGTAGGGAAAATATACATGATTTTGAAAAGTGAACAGGGTATTGTACCTTTATTTTCAGCCCTTTTCATTCTGATCCCCCTAAATATAATCCATTGCAAACGAAATCCTTTAGAGGTTAAACGTTTCAATGTTATTCCAGGCATTGTGTGAAAGCCTCACAGATCTAGATGGTAAACAATCAGAAACATGGAGGCCAAAGAACACATCAGAGAGGAAGCAAACAACTACACAACAGCAGCCTATAAATAGATGGGAACTCTGGAGGAGCTGCAGGGATCTAGATCTCAGGTGGAAGAAGTTAAAAACTCCTTAAATCTGACAATAATTGCATAGTGGCAATTTTTAAAAGAAATATATGCAATTTGACCAAAGCCAAATGTAGAAAACAGAAAACATGGGGAAGAAGTTGGCCTGAGCAGCTTTAACCAACTTTGAACCGCTTTAATAAACCTGTGTGTTTGTAAAAACAACAGAGAACATCCCCCAGAACACCATCCCAACCATTCGTAGAGGGAAGCATGGCGAAGGCAGCATAATGCAGAGTAGATGTTTTGGTTTTATTCAACCTGAATAGAGAAGCTGGTCTGCCGATGGTTAGATGGATCTAGCTAAATACAGGGTCATCATAGAGGAAAGCCTGTTAGAGGCGGCTAAAGACTGACCTCCTAGTGGGACTAAGATCCTAAATATGCAGCAACAACCATGAAGGAATTATTTACCTTTGGGGTGTCCAAACTGCAGCCATTAGTGAGCTCCTTTACCAGAATTTAATCATGCGTATGGTGCTGAAAAAATGCCTTTGGAAAAAGATAAAAACCAATTATGAAATGAGATTGTAAGGTTCAACACAAACAATTAGTTTTTTTTATTTTTATTGGACAATAAAAAGGACTATGAATATCCGGATACTTTAACCTAAATTGAGGCACCAACTTATTAAAACTTTGCTGAATAAAGTGAGAGTGAGTCATATACACATTTTATACTCCTCTTTATGCCTATTATACAATATTTAAAACTAAATCCTGGCAAAAATAATGAACCCAAACATTTTAGGTCATTATAACCTTTTTTTTTTTTTTAAACAACCAAGTTTTGGACCTGCAAAATTGTATTAATCCCTTTACAAAAGATGTCAGACGTCTTTGTTTGTTCCTTCAAGTATTGCTTACTGCTGAGACAGTTAAGATAAAAGTTTTTCACCATTTTATTTAGGAAAAGTGTCAAATTTTGTTGTATCTTAAACAAAACATTTTTAGCCTCCATGTCGAAGAGTTTGGATCAATCCAAACTATAATATTCTAAAACGTATCAGTCTTTGGACTCCTGTTTGGACTTCTTCTACTTTCTGTAGCTCTGCAAAAGTTCCCAATAAAAACAGTTTGTGTTTGTGATATGACATATGTGGAAAGGGTAAACAATACTTCAGATTTTTTTTTTTTTATCAAGGCTTCCTCACCCTTTAAACAGTGCTCCATCATGGTAACTGATAGCTTTTTAATATTTTAAAAGCGTCCTGTTCTGTTTTCCTCCCTCTGTTACATTAAGGAAGCATGCTGGCTCCAGTATTCTTAAAGAAACTTTGGATGAGCTCAGTAAGGATAAAACAGTCAGTTTCTTCCTTTAGGAAATAAAGATTATCTTTGTTGTAAGAATAAGGGGCCCTTGAGTCCAAATTCAGAAGTAGGGAACGTCCAGCTGTGCAGTCAGTAACACCAGGTCGCCTGTAGACAGAGAGAAAGTTTGATTTCATCTTTGAAGCAGGCAGCTGCTGCGTGATCCGTAGGAAAGTGGCCGGGTGCGGAGGATTTACGCTCTGTGTGAGGGACTCCCTGCACATTGTGGTTTCTCCTCTTTGCTTTTGAGTTCTTTTCTCTTGATTTCCATGCATTGTCTCATGAGTCACTGGCAGGGAAGGGTTTTGTGTCTTTTTCTCTTGCATTTTGTGAATCTAATGATGCACTTATGTTGCCCCACTTTTCCCTTTTCTTCATACCTTACCTACTAAAGGAGGGAATGCCACTTTATTGGTAAGTGGATGTTAACCAGAAGGGAGTTAAACAAGAGTTACCATTAAAAAAAACAAACACACACAGAGAAAATGGGTCGCTGTTCACATCTCAGCAAATGTTCTCAGGAAAAAAAAAATCCACACAGAGAAAATTGAGTAGCAGTCAGTTTGTTTTCTGATTCAACTGATTCAATAATTGTGATCTTTATTTCGTTCCTTCCATTTCTGTGATGTTTCGTCAAGTTGTCTTCTCTTCCTGTTTTGTTTCATTTTTTTTTAGCCATTTCTAAAAAATTAAGAAAGAAATCCTGCAGAAGTCCTCTTTCTATTCTCCAGAATCTGTAGCTCTGTACTCTCTGCTCTAAAACTTATTCGGTTCACTTTTTCTTTATTCCCTCTCCTTCTTCTCTTCCTAGTTCTTTTGTTTGTTTTTGCGATTTTATTTGGATTTATTTTTCCAACTCATTATGGTTTTGCATGCCAAGTATTTGCATGCGCTGCACCATAGAGGACTATCTATAAGCCATATGGAGAAAACCTAGATCTTTTTCTTTTAGATGTTTACCTTCTGTTGGCAAGTAAACCGTAGCTCTTTATCATAAGCTTGGAAACATTCTGATGCTATTTTTGTCCTATTTCTTTTCTTTTTTTTTTTTTCTTTGTTGGTCATGATTTCTCTGCAGAAGCTGCGTCTGCTGAATGCAAGCTCTGCAGGCATCCAGTCTACTTTACTAAAAGAGCAAAGGCTCCACAGCGCCCCCAGGAGGAACCAAGCGGAAGAGACTGGGAGTGTGGAAGGCAAGGTGGCAGCTATAGGGAGCCCTTTAACTCAGACATCTGGTAGGAGAAGCGGCCCGAGAGGCCGGAGACGGAGCTCCCACTCCCCCGATCACAGCAGTGACTCGGCCCACTCCCAGCACAACCACTCTCACAGAGGGAGGTCCTCCCGACATCAGCGAAAGTAAGTCAGCCACCTGAAATTTCCATGCTTTTATCACAAATGGACCTTTAAATCAGGGGGGATTATTGAAAAATGTGATGCTTTCTTCACCAGATCAAAAGGTGGACACTCCTCTAAGCGTCACAACCGCTCTAATCGGGGTCAGGCGCATCACAAGAGCCCATCTGGGTCTCCGGGGCGTCACTCACACACATCAGGTAGGAAGAACGAGGAGTCTCGGAGCAAAGCCAACCTCCGGCAGCGCAGCAGCTCCTGGAGCAGCGGCCGCTCGTCCTCACGCTCTGCCTCCAGAGACAAGGGCCCCGGCAAAGTCAAGTCCCCACACAGCAGACAGAACATCTCAAGGTGAGACCCTGCCGGCCTGTCGTCATCTAGAGTCATTACGCTGTCATCTGTCACTGCTGCTCTGACAGCTGACTGTGTCACGCAGAGAAAAGGACAGCGCCAACCGCTCTGACACCGACAGCAGAGCTCGGCGTCGCTCACGCAGTTACTCACCCATCCGGAAGAGAAGAAGGGATTCACCCAGCTTCATGGAGGCTCGAAGGATCACCAGGTAAGAACGTTTTAGTCTGGGAGTAACCATGCTGCTTCCTGCCATAAAACATGTCTCTGTTCTCCTATATAGATACAGCCAACATGTTCAGCAGCCTCAAGCTACAAAGAACCCTAGAAAAAACAAACTGACCTCCTTGATCCTATTTCCAGTTTATCTTTAGTGTCGGGTAAAAATAACCTCCTGATGAACAGTATATGAGACGCCTGGCCTAATGTATGAACCAGCAGCTTCAGGATGGACTGATGATAAACTCTGTCTAATGTACACATGTAACCATTCTGTCTTATTTTTCTCTTCAGCATCATCACATTACCTCAGCAATTAAAACCATCTTATATCCAATTCTACTGTATTGCTTCCAAAATGCTGTGTTTAAAAAGTCGGACTCAGACGCTCCTGGCCCTAAATTAATAGAACCAGTGACGTTGAACCACAATCATCACTGTAATTTATTGATGTGGTGTGTAATGAACAAACCCAGTGAAGCTCATAGGTTCATTAATGCCTTCAGTCGACATTAATCAAGGATTATAGTTTATATTATATAACATTTTAAACTTTCTACATATTGAATCTAAATTAATTCTGCATAACTCTGCATTAAAAAATAGTAACAAGTACATTTACTGGAGTAACTTTTAGCAGAAAAAAATAATAATAATAAAACACTTTTAGGACTTTAGTAAAAAAAAATGATGTCCATGTTAAAAACTGATGTGGAAAAGGATAGATAGATAGATAGATAGATAGATAGATAGATAGATAGATAGATAGATAGATAGATAGATAGATAGATAGATAGAT